AGCAGACTGTACAGACATCCGCACTGGTCAGGTCGTTCTTTCTTCTTCTGACATGTAGCCACTGGTCAACCGGTAGAGCCACGTTGGTTATGAGTCATTAAAAGCTTCTGATTTTTTATAGGTCTTATCGTTCTGTACTTCGTCCATGGGATTTTTGCTATCTGTTTTGCCTCAGAGCCAATTAATTTGCTCCATCTTTCTTTGATTATTAGATCTGGGTCCTTTGTTTTTTAACAGCATCTTGTAACCCAGTTTAACTGTATAATCGTATTTTGGAATTGACGTTTTGGATATTCTATTCCTTTCAGGGTGCCATGCCCATTCTGCTGGGTCGAACTCAAGGTCTTTAATTGTCGTGTTTATTTGGAAGATCTGCTTAGGCCAAAACGTCCGTATTTTTCCCGCATCGTGAATGCACTTAGAACTGTTTTTTTCAGGATTTATGTTCAAAAAGTATTGTTCATATGTTTTAGTCTTCAAAATTTGGAAGGAGGAGAATACATCCCTTGGACCGGGTGTGGACTGCCAATGGGAAAATTGGTAGGCTTTAACTGTGGATGATTCTTGGAACAGGGCTCCCCTATCCAACTAGTCGGGATGCGCTGTATTATCCTTTGGAGGTTTTCATCCCTGTGATGACACCCCTTTCAAGCCGGTCTTGAGGTCCGTTGTCGGCGCGAATACCCTTACAAGGGTATCCGCCCTGGTTTTCGCAATTGACAGGAAACAAGCCTAATTTGAAAGTTCAAAGTATGTTGTGTAAGGCTTGGTAATGTCCTAGAGCTACGCTGACTTAATAATTGACCGGAAGTAGAGGGTATGTGAGCACGCAGTTCATGGCGCGAGTGTGATTTCTCCTTTTGATAGGGAAGCAGGTGTGGCTGACCGATTGGTCTTTTCCCGTGATTAAACCAAGGGGTTGGAATTCTTTGAGTCCATTGGTCGGCATGCCTGGCCAGGGGTAGAACTGGCGTGCCGGTGGGCGTGCAGGAAGGCTACGACGCGGGTTGGTAGGCTGGTACGGACACCCAGTGGCCATGGGGGCAAATGAGGGTTGAAGGAACGGCCAGGGCGGTATCTTGATCATAAGCATCGCGCGGTACCACCTTATATGGGTGGTCGCGTTTGCTGATACCAGGCTTGGGCTTAGCCCCATAGGTTACGGTACCAGACTCACACGGCAGAAGTGCGGGGTTCGAGGCCTGCAGGCGGTGCAAGGGAGCAGCGGAGCGTCATAGAAGGAAACTGATGGGGTTGAGGGCCAATGAGGCTATCCTCCATCAGTTTTGGTGATATGTGCGGCGACGGGCCCGGCCTGCGGGTCTAGCGAGGAGCCAGTAGTTCCCGTTCCCAGTTTAAAGCCTGTATAATAAACGGGCTTTATTTTTCTCGTCTTTTTACTTTTTTTTTTTTTTTTTTTTTTTTTTTTTAGTTGGTACACCCATGAATCATAGGAAACACAGGTCGAGAGACCTTGGCACTATCGTGGGGGCAGCGCCCCGGTCAAAGTGTTTGGGGCATCCGATGAAGTCGGAGTGGCACAGAGAAAATTAGTCTGTGCCCCTACGCATGGATGACACGCATAAAACCGGGAAAAAGGGTCGGCACCGGTGTTTGTTTGACAACACTAATTCGACGAGCTGCGCGGATCGAAAGGACTAACGCAGAGTTGCGTTAGCAGGAGCTCCGTTGACAGCAATAGGGAGACGAGAAGGAAGACGAGAACGAGGTAGAGAAGAAGGCGACGGGGAGCAGGGTCTGTAGATGGTGAGGAAGAAGGATAAATCGGGACGGGGTCGGACGCCAGGTACAGGCGCATTGAGCAGAGGTGAGGTGGCGGAGAGAAGGTCGGGCGCTGTAGGATAACAGCGCTGGTCGGGGAGGCAACAGGCGACGAGCGCCAGGCACAGGGTGGTAAGGAGGAGGGAATGAACTTGGACGCGGGCGGCGCCAGGTGCATTCTGCGATGGGGATGGAGGAAACA